GCAGAGGGTGCTAAGAATCTCTGCATCCGGACAGGCCGCCATTGGAACCTGAACCTGGCAACGTTTAACGGTAGAACCTCATCTAGTGAGGGAAGTCTAGCTTTACCATTCGAGGAGCTAGAGGGTGTCAAATAAGATATAATAGGCCTCAGTGAGGTTAGGAGGACAGATGAGGCATATACATTGCTACAGAATGGGCAAGTCCTTTGCTATCAGCGCTTGGATGACAGAAGAGAACTGGGAGTGGGATTCCTAATTCACAGAAACATAGCTCGCAACATAGAGGAATACTACAGCATTAATGAAAGGGTGGTAGGTATCGTAATTAAACTGAATAAGAGATACAAGATGAAAGCGGTACAGGCTTACGCGCCTACATCCAGCTATGATGACGCTTCAGTTGAAAGCTTCTATGAAGACGTGGAATCGGCAATGAGTAAGGTAAAATTGCAGTACACTATACTGATGGGAGACTTTATGCAAAGGTAGGGAAGAAGCAGGCTGGAGACCAGGCAGTAGGAGAATATGGTATCGTTACTAGGAACACCAAAGAGGAGGTACTAGTAGAATTCGCAGAACGCAATAATTTACGGATTTCTAATACCTTCTACCAAAAACGACGAAACCGCAAGTGGACATGGAGGAGCCCTAATGGCGAAAATAAGAACGAAATAGACCTTATAATGAGTGCACACCCAGGCATCATGCAGGATGTGAAAGTGGTTGGCAAGGTACGATGCAGAGACCATAGAATAGAACGGTCTTGAATTCGCCTAGACTTGAAGAAGGAACGACAGAAACTGATACGCAAGAAGCCAATCAATGAGCTAGCACTGAGAGGGAAAGTACAGGAATTCAGAGTCTCGCTTCAGAACAGGTACTGGGCTCTTAGTGAGGAAACCAACCTTAGCGTAGATACAATGAATGATAATTTGACGAGTATCATTACGGAGTGTGCAGTGGAAGTTGGAGGCAGGGTAGTTAGACAGGACACTCAGCAAGCTTCCCCAGGAAACGAAGAATCTCATTAAAAACCGTCAAATCATGAAAGTCTCAAGTACAACAGACAAAATAGAACTGGCAGAGCTTTCGAAGTTGATTAATAGGCGGAAGGTATGCGATGTAAGAAGGTATAACATGGAGAGAATTGAACACGCTCTGAAAAATAGAGGAAGCGTCAAAGCAGTGAAAAGGAAACTTGGGATAGGCAAAAATCGAATGTATGCACTAAAGGACAAAGAAGGCAAAATAACTACCAATATAGATAGAATAGTTAAAGTAACGGAGGAGTTTTACAGAGATCTGTACAGTAGCTGGGACAACCACGACCTTAATATCATAAGAACTAGTAGTAACCCAGATGACACCCCACCAGTAATGATAGAAGAAGTCAGAAAAGCTTTGGAGAACATGCAAAGAGGCAAAGCTGCTGGTGAGAATCAAGTAATATCTGATTTGCTGAAAGATGCACGACAGATTGTGTTAGAAAAACTAGCCACCCTGTTTACGAGGTGTCTCCTGACGGGAAGAGTACCAGAGTCTTGGAAGAATGCTAACATCATCTTAATACATAAGAAAGGAGATGACAAGGACTTAACCAATGACAAGGATGGGTTTTAAAATTAATCTGCAGAAAACGAAAGTAATGTACAACAACCTCGGAAGAGAGCAGCGCTTCGAGGTAAGCAGTAGTGCACTTCAAGTTGTAAAAGACTATGTCTACTTAGGGCAGGTAATAACCGCGGAGCCGAACCACGCGATTGAAGTAACTAGAAGAATAAGAATGGGGTGGAACACATTTGGCAAGCACTCTCAAATTATGACAGGTAGATTGCCACTATCCCTTAAGAGGAAAGTATATAACAGTTGTATCTTGCCGGTACTTAGCTACGGAGCAGAAACCTGGAGGCTTACAAAAAGGGTTATGCTTAAATTGAGGACGACGCAGCGAGCAATGGAAAGAAAAATGGTAGGTGTAACCTTAAGAGACAAGAAGAGAGCAGAGTGGATTAGGGAACAAACGGGGGTTAAGGATATCATAGTTAAAATCAAGAAAAGAAAATGGACATGGGTCTGGCATGTTGCGCATAGACGGGATAACCGCTGGTTATTAGGGGTAACTGACTGGATTCCCAGAGAAGGCAAGCAAGTTAGGGGGAGACAGAAGGTTAGGTGGGCAGATGAGATTAAGGAGTTTGCGGGTATAAATTGGCAGCAGCAAGCACAGGACCGGGTTCACTGGCGAAACATGGGAGAGGCCTTTGTCCTGCAGTGGACGTAGTCAGGCTGATGATGATGATGATGACTCTAATGGCGTATCTCACCGCATCAAGAAAGCTGTCGCTCGCGCAAGTGTCATCTATTGGGCACCTATGAAAGGTGCAAAAAGAATCATGCCACCTGCTTTGTCCTGGGCCATCCAGCAAGCCCGCAAAACGCCTGACAAGCTTGGCCTTGTGATCCCGACGTGCGGAACAATTCTGGAACATACTGGAACATTGTGTGTTTTGCAACGGGATGCCTTGCCAGAATTCTTGGAACAGCTAAATTCCGTGGAAGCCGTGACACAGTTTACCGTGGAAGAAGAATGAAACGGCTGCCTTCCGTTCCTTGATGTCCTCGTGAAACGAGACGGTAGGCGCCTGACTTTCAGCGTGTACAGAAAAGAAACACACACCGGTCGTTTTCTAAGCTTCAATTCTGTGCACCCATCCTGCCATAAACTTTCTGTTGTGTCTGCACTCGTAAAGCGCGCTTGGAGGATTTGTTCTAAGGAAGAAGACGCAGTAGAAGAAGTTGAGGCCGTTCGACGGGAGCTGGCTACTTGCGGATATCCGCTTTCCTTTATGAACTCGGTGCAGTGACAACTGCAGCGTCCGGCTCAGTCACACACCATTGCTACAAGAAAACGTGCATTGGTGCTTTACGTCCCAGGCTTCAGCGAGACCCTGTCTCGGGTATTGCGCGGCTACGACGTCCAAGTGGCTAACGTTCCGACACGAAAGCTCCGAGGCCGTCTTACAAATGTCAAAGATAAGTTGGACAGACGTGATTTTCCCGGCGTGGTGTATAAAATTCCTTGCAAAGACTGTGAATAAGGATACATTGGCGAAACGGGCAATTACAAAAGAAGGCTCCGGGAACATTTTAATGACGTCAAGAACAAGAAAGCAGCTACTAATGCCCTCGCAGAACATGTTGCGTCTACTGGGCACGCTATCGACTGGAATAAAACCTGCATCATTGCCACGGAAAGAAAGTTGTTACCACGATTGCACATGGAATCTCTAGCCATTCAAACTACTGTGCATACGTTGAACAAAAATATTGGGACACTCCCCCTATGTCTGCTACATGTGATGAAACATGCATAAAAAGAGCGCACTACGCCATTTGCAGTCACTGTGAACAAGGCTCCCGTGTGGGGAGCCGAAACGTCTTTCTAAGTTTTGTGCATTTCACCTGGGTCGGCGTTTTTGTTTTTTGCACTTTGCACCAATATGTGAAATCTGTATATGAAGCCTTTGCTGTTCATGTTGCAGGTCAAGCATGTATCAGCTCCTGATCTATCACACTGACGAAGAGATTAACTATCGATGCAGTTAGGCATTCCATGCTTCTATGACAAAGCACGACTTGTGCGCATGTGCTAGGAAAGTCTTCCTCCTCTCTTCTTCTTTTTTCCATTTTCTCTAGCATACATATTTGCACTGCAAAGCTGTTGATAGTGTTCTGTCCCATTTTTCTGTTTACTCCTGATCCCTTTCGTGCTGTTTTTTCTTACTACAAATGTGTAACAACAAGCTCAAGTTAACACGCTTTGTACAGATTCATATCGTCAGTTCCAAATCTACCAGTGTGTGCCTTTTTTTTTTACTATCCTCGCAAGCTAGATGCCTCAGAAGGCATCGCTTGATGTTTAGCTAAACTGCCTTAAAATGTGCTATCTGGGTTTTGCTACTATTGATTAGATAACCTGATGCCGTACAACACTGGTGAGCACAAGCTACTCGCAGAGCTTGGCCATACTTTAGAACAATGGTCACCAACCTGCAGCCCACGGGCCCTGTCAATATTATGCAGCTCCAGGAACGACATCCATCCCCTCTTGTCAGTGCCTATCTGAGGGCCAACAGGACAGTTTTGAACTGAAATCTCGCTTGTAACCTATGTTGGTGTATGACCTTGTGACATGCTTCTTGAAAATAAACTTAATTTCTATTCCTCTCTTCTCACGTTTTTGTAAATTACTATTCACCTATTCTTTTTTTTCCCATTTTGCTTGCGAAATGCCTCAATTGGGGCCGTCCGGCCCCCACATATTGGCTTCCTGCAACTTGGCTCTCTACCTCAAAAGGTTGCCGACCCCTGCTTTACAAAAACTGTAGCGCCAGAAGTGTTTCTTTTTTGCAAAGATGATGCGAGCGCTACAGGGTGGTGGTCTCGTTAATAGTTACAATCAAATTGCGTTGAGGCAATGGAAGAGGAGCTTTATGGCCATGATCATACCATTGGGAAAACAGGCCAGAAATTGGGAGTCTCCTGGACAAATCAGATAAGTTTGCAGGTATGCACTTGTAAGGTATTCTGGATAACTTCCAGTGGATGTAATCCACGACTAGAGGGTGTGTTCCCATCATGAATGAGAAGTTACTGCTCTACACCAGAGTCAAATAGTAGTGCATGCATTGAGTTAGCTGCTCTCAATATCACTTTTGTGGTCACAGTCAATCCTGAAGTAGTGTACTAAAGAAGCTTCAAATAGAAGGTAAAGAAAAAGCTTTGAACGCAATGCCTTGGGGCACACAAGTAGGTCCAGAAAAACCAACATGGCTTTACATGCCCTTGCTCATGCCTCATACGTTCACATTGTTTCCGAATCGAAAACACAAAATAAGGAAGTGTGTGAATAAAGCTACACAAGTAAGTCTATTTCTCACTTCTGGTACCATCTGCTCTGCAGGTTTCAAGCGAATCTCTGAGCAACAAGAATGACATGCCTTTCGGAAGACAAATGGTTCTTCATTGTAGACAGGGTTGAGTCCGTTGGCAGGCACCATGCGGGTGCGGAACTCCTTCCGGATTGTGTCCGTGGGCAGTCCGTACATGTCCACCTCAACGTACGTGCCCACCTTCTTGTCCGACAAAAACTGGCCGGACAGCACTCGCACCGAACACTGGGCTGCAATCACACCATCTACGGGTGACTCCGCAAAAGGGTCAAATGTTTTGTCTGCTCGTCGCATGAAGTCTGGCTTCAGGAGGTACCTGCGTTGATGTCTCGTTATCATTACACTAGCTAAGTAGTATTATTAGAAATGCATCCACTTTGAGCACGCGTATGCACCATATGAAAAAGCCCAAAACCTTTTTTCGATTAGAAAAAAAAGAAACATGGCAGGGACTTGAAGTAGTCTGCAATGACAATAAAGATAAATATAGGGTCACAATGTCATACCCAATTAAACATTATAGTGTCTTGCTGGTATCACCAATGATTAGGACAGCCATGTGGTGTTGCGCATGACCTCAATTTGACACAGAGAACCACAGAAAGCAACAATTTTGCTCAATAGAGACCTGAGACAGGATCTGTTACTCTTTAATTTTATGATTAGTGCATCTGATGTTACTTGATACTAGTCATGTGCTGCTGAAAATGCATCATGGATACCCAAGCACTGTTCCCAAGTGTTTGCTGACTGTTCCCAAGTGTTTGCTCACCAATGAATTGCAATGACACTTCCCCTACCCAACAGCCCAGGTCTGGCACCCTGAAGTGCGGCATTGCATTCAATTACAAACCCAGGAAGAACAAGAAGACACAAAAGATACACCTTGAAGTGATTCTTCTGATGCAGAACAAGAGGGGGACCAGATAATGAGCTGTCCTCAAAGAATGTGCAAGGGTGCCTTCACCCACCCACCTTTATCTAGTCTACATAAAAGGCTTTAGAATGTAAGCTCCCATCTCACCCAAGTAATACTCATGATTGTGAGCTGGCAACTAGAAAATGAAAACGAGCAAAAGTTCCCGAAGCATTCACTCAATAGAAATTAGTATTTCCGCTCTATTAATGCTCGACAATTCTCATTTCATGAGGAGAAACGAACACCTTAAGAGCTACTACGAGCTGAAACTTCCCAAAATAGAGGCAATGTTTTCTTGTAAAAATGAAGCTTTTTAACAAATCAACTGTTCCATATTCTTTTACAACTGGGTATACAAATGCAACCATACAAGCTAGCACATAACACTTTAGAGCGGTTTGTAGTGAGATTAAGACCAAGAAAGACATAAATATTCTACGTCCAAGACATGTACATTAATGTAGACTGGTTCAAGAGTACAAATCGAGAACAAAGAATGTTTTTTAGCATGGCAATCACACATCTGCACTCTCAGCTGCAGCATTCTGCTAGCAGAGAGCAAATTGAAATGAACACTGACCCACATCCGCCATTGTATTCAAACTTGCCCTGGTTGAGCTGCATGGGAAGGTCAGGCGTCTGGAAGTTGAGGGCCACCATCTGGCAGCCTGCATTCCAGAAGATCTGCACACACATCCGCACATTGTCACATGGTCGTGAGTGTGAAGAAGATGAAACTCTTTATTAGGGCGAGCTTGTGCCCACCCAGGAAATGAAAAGTCAAAGTACAAGCCGCCGTTGTACAATAATAGTGGGGATCACAGCGTGAGCTGGCACAATCTGGTCGGTGATAAAGCTTGTCAACATTTATATACGTGGCGTCGAAGGTTCTAGCCTCATCGCTGTAGGTTACATTCTAACACGGCAAATGCAAGGCAGTGGCCTAACATGTAACAGATAGGTTCCATGAAAATAAAAAAAAATGTGCACATGACAATATGCAGCCATTGTAGGGTTTCCTACAGCACCCCGTGCCGCGCTGCGGTGGTCTAGTGGCTAAAATACTCGGCTGCTGACCCGCAGGTCGTGGGGTCGAATCCAGACTTCGGCGGCTGCATTTTTGATGGAGGCGCAAAATGCTGTAGGCCTGTGTGCTCAAATTTGGGTGCACGTTAAAGAACCCTAGGTGGTCGGAATTTCCAGAGCCCTCCACTACAGTGTCTCTCATAATCATATGGCGGTTTTGGGGCGTTAAACCCCACATATCTATCTATAGCACCCCATCACCACCTAGAGCGCATTACAATTCAACTCAGCATGAAAGCTACAGTACTTGGACACAGCCCAAATTGTGAAACAGACTTCAAGTGCATCACTACGACTTAACACCAAGGCAAGTAAATACTCTAATGGACTGAAATAAGGAACGCCCAAAATGATGTGGAAGAAGTCGAGACTTTATACTTTGGAAGCTAACCACCATCTTGTCAGCTGCTATAGTAACAGGACACTTAATAGTATGCTCTATTTTTTCCCATGTAAAAATCTTAATTTAGTGTCTTTATATATACGAAAAACATTACAGTAAACATAAAGACAAATTTAACCAAGCCACGTTCCAACAGATGCTGAACAACAACTGTTCAATTTTTAATGTAGAGCAATTCATCCTCTACATAGGTACTCGATATAAAAAAAAATACAATCAAGATAAGATGCCTGGCATGTAATCTCACCTTAGCAGTGGCCATCACCACAAATGATTTCGTGCAGTGAATATGGCAGTTTTTGCAAGAAATTATTGTGACCTGACGAACACAAGAAAACAGAAAAAGATAAAAGCCCTTCCTCATACATAGGCCTGAAGCGATTCCATGCCTTTGACAGAAGTGAAAGAAGTAAAAGAGAATAGCCAACAGGAACAGCCAACACACCATGACTGGCAAGGAAAGTCTCCCATCCCGCGAATGACAGTCAGGTGAAACCATAAACCATGCAACCACATTCTGAAATGCTTGTACAACAGAACGATAAATACCGTACATAGCAGGCACATTCAATCTGTACCTCAGAGCTAAAGAGAATATTGAGAATATTGAGCACTCTATTCGCATCAACTTTTAGTGTATTATTGGGGGCCAGCAATTTCATTGCTTCATTCAATTTAGCTCATTGAAAGTTATGCTCCTGTTTTACCCGCATCATGGCATTCTGGAATTTCAGAACTGGGTCAGGGTATAGTCCTGCGATGAGAAGGACCAGCAAAAGGCATGAGCTCTGCATGCCCAGGTGACTTTCGAGAAATCTGCTACACTGAAGAACCGGAACTGCTCAATGAAAGCATTTCTAAATAGGCTTGTACGAATATTCGAATGCTTCGAATACTCGAACTAATAGTTGAGTATTCGAATTCACTTCAATTCGAATTTAAATTATCGAATATTTTGGAAGTATTCGGAATGAACGAATAGGTGTATATTAATCCGCATGTCACCGCCTGTAAAGGTCGTTTCACTCCAATGTATGAGTGCCAAGCCATGAAAGCACCTATCCAAGAAAAATACCCTCTGCCACGAATCCCGCCTTCAGAAGGGGGGACGTGGCAAGTAAAACTAATTTTTTTATTAATGTACTGTTTGTGATGAAATTTGGTGTGTGTATGTGGATGATTGTGAGGATTCCAAATATGAAAACCGTTTTCAAATATCTCTTGTACTTTTTGAGTTACAAGCATAATTATACTAATTAATGCTCTTCACACTTAAAGAGATAATTATTGCTAAATGAAATTATTTTTTCATATTATTATGTTCCCAAAGCATCAACTTGTGCAAAGAAGCTATTAGTTGATTTTTCTAGTTCTTGTAACCATAAATAAAATTTCCAAAACATGGATGTTGTTTTGCGCACACATCGCAGTAATTATAAAATGTGTTCTAAAAATTTTAAATGATGAGTAAGAAGAGAGATAAAGCTTTATTGCACTGCTAAAGGCCTCCTGAGCCTAGTGCAAAAAACGGAACGACTCTATCAGTCTTTGTTAGAAAATGACAGATGTTCTAGCGAAGGCACATAGGCGAAAATCAAGAGTTGAGAAAACTGACTTTGAAAGTTCACTCTTGTTTGGAAGTTCACAACATGCCTAAAACACTCAGAATCCTCCTGGGCAGTAATCCTGAGATGCTGTGGCCTTGGCCTCTGTAGAGCGCAACCCAGTTTTGCGCTTCTTTGTCGTGGAACAATGCGCCTTTTGAGCCCTCTTTACCCTTTTGGCATCCTTTTCGGCTGCTCGCCGCAAAGAGCAGTCTCCTGGATTGAAGCCCAGTTGAGCAGTGATCTCTTGCAGCGCACTCTTGCAGCCACCATTGAAACGGCAGACTGCATCTGCAACTGCACTTTCCACACTTCGAAGGGAGGCGAACTGGCTCTTGGACTGCAGTGACCAAATGAGGCTGTTCATACTCTCCGCAGCGTTCTGGGTTTTTCCCTGCGCACACCTTTCAAGGAGCTCTTTGTTCGAGAGGCGCTTGTAGATTGGCAGCAGTGCCACTCGCACGTGAGGGGGCAGTTTATGTTTGTGAGGCGGCAGCGGCTCTCCCTTGGCCAATGCCTGATTGTGCGGGCACCAGGAGTCAGTCCCACTTGGGCACAGGTCGTGGTGTGGATCCTGGTCTGTGGATGTTACATGGTAATAAGTGGCCATGATGGCCCTCTCCATGCCAGGAACATCGTTGGGGTGGCTCTTAATGGCCCAGCCATAATAATTCGTCAACTTCTTTATAAGGCCCTGCGTCAGCCGGCCTTTGCCACCCATGCTCAGTCCTCGGCCTTTGGATTTGTGCTCATCAAGAAGGTTGCGCAAGGAAGTGCCCATTCTTTTTTTCACATGGTTCACACACTCCTGTTTCTTAATCAACATGTAGCCATACACCTTGTCTTGCGTGAGGGCAAGGTACGTACGGCTGTCACCGTCGCAGAGCACATTGATATATCGAAGCTTGTACTTGGTAAACGATCTTTCAAACATGATCCTCGCTGCTTCTACTTCCATTTGGCCTGCATTAGCATCGGTGTTCTTTTGGCACTGTGGCTTGTGTTTCTCAAGCCACTCCTCATAGTTGTCGTCACCAGGCTTGGGGCCAACAGCACAGCCTTGGCAGTAGTTGGACAGGACACAGTGGTCCAAGACCAAGCCTGTGTACAGCTCGATTACACAGCCCACGCCAATATGACTTCTGTGCCCCCTCGTCATCCACGTGCCGTCGTAAATGACGTCAATGTTGCCTGGCACTCCTCCTAGGTCCTTGTAAATGTCATGCACCTTCTGTGCACTTTCTGCTTCAATGCGGGTGGCAGCTGATGTGGTGGCAGGGTGGCTGTACTTCCTTTGCAGTCTCTGGTAGGACTTGTGGTGCAGTGCTCGATGCGAAATGTCCATCGCAGAAAAAATGTCATTTATGGCAGATTGTTTTCTGCCAACTGACTGCACAGCCCTCAAAGCACGCACGTTTACCTCAAAGGGGTTCGTTTTTTGTTGCCCGGAGCACCTCGGGGACGACCACGCACTGTTCACTATGCCACAATTGTCACAAAAAAGTTCCATCCTCGCCGCGAGTCCAAGGCAGTGCGTAGTCTCGAGGCGTATCGACCCTTCGTCGCACTTGTTGCACTTTACTGACGAAAGCAGACCGTTCAGCATCTTCTTATTTACAATGAAGAATGTGGAGTCCTTACCGCCGTCATTTTCGTCGCAGCCTTCGTTCAGAAGCTCGAGCTTCCGCTTTGAAGCGGACTTCGATGCTACGGCATCCAAAACATCCCGCCTTGTCTGCGCCCGCTGCGCGATTTCTTCACTGCTCGGAATCTGGGCCGAAACTCGCGATAGAATGTTCGACGCGCGCACGCCCGGAGTTGCAACGGCTGCCGACGCGGTGCCACCGCAATCGGGTTCGCGAGAGCGTCCATCACGGTCGACGGCATCCGGCGGTCTGACATACGACGATGTGGCACCTTCCACACTCTCGGCCTCACAACAATCAGCGAAGGGTCTGAGTAGAGGCTCCGTGACGCTTGAAGAGCATGCTCCGTCCGGAACTGCGACTGGGACGGCAGCCGCAGTCGTCTGCCCTTTGTTCCAAGCTTTCCGACGCTTGCCGTACTTGTGGACGCTCCGGAACTTTTTTTGCGACAACATAGCACCGCAGTATGAGCAAGTACTCAGAAGAGACCACCGATGTAAACAAAGCTTGGTAAAAAAAGCACGCGAACTATCACAAAAACAGCAAACTGGCAAAAAACGAAGCGCACGCCGGATGATTCTCGACACGGCGGCCGCAGATGCGCTCGCGCTTCCAAGGTTGCCAAGGTGCGCGGCGCAGCTTTGACCAGTAAGAGGTCGCGCCTGCTACCACGTGACCCGCGCAGCCAATTGCCGTTCTTCGTTTTCGTTTTTTTACTTGCTCCTCGCGCTTTTATTTTCACTCGGCGAAATACGAGACCGCGACCATCGGGAAGCCGGCTTTCTCCTCTTTCCAAAGCTACCAAAATGGCGGCCCACGGTCAACAACTTGGCGCGTTTGTGCGGCGTGAACAACACCGTTTCAGGGGCTTTTTTTTCGCACTTTTCGGCGACTAGCCTCGGCAAAAACACTATTTGCGGGATTTGTAGCGCACGTTTCGCTGTAATATTTTAGAACAAGGAAGTTGAAGGTCTGAAGATTACGAAAAAAAATAAATCAGAAAATCGCATATTTTGACCAAAATCGGCACTTTACTTGCCGCGCCCCCCCTTCAATTTTAAAGGGGCCCTGCAACACTTGCTGAACATGGTCAGAAAACGCTGCCGATCGGTAGTTGAGGCTACTGAGAACACACGAGGCAAATATTGTAGCGCAGCACGTAGCCTGTAACACACAACGAATTTTCAAAGCTAAAATTGCTTTCTTTCCTTGGCAAATGACACTGCAAGCTCAGAAATCACTTGTCACAGCCAAGAAAGAATGTACAGCTAAAGTCACGGCCATTGGCTGATTTGAGCGTGGCGCGCTCATTGTTGCCGGGGCCGCTGCTTGTTCATGAGTACGTGCACAATTGCACTGAAAAGCCGCGTATTTGAAGGAAAAAAAAAAAAAGGTGCTCAAGGTCACGAGGTGCATGTGATGTATTTTCTTATTTTCTTTCACCGTGCCATTCCTCACTGCTCAACTTTCAGCTATTTCGCCAGGACGAGAAGAAAAAATGCAATTGCAGCTTGCGACAGAATTTTGGAACTCCGCTCGTACTGGACTGATTCTAGAAACATTGCAGTGGTAAATTAGTGAGGCAACAAGCATGTTTACTGGCTTCATGGCTACTTGAAAAGGTGTTGCAGGGACCCTTTAAAGGAACATGTTACCTTCAAATCAATTCATTTTATGAAGCTTCTTATGGTGGCTTATATGCTCCAAGTATAATAAATTTTAAAACGTTAAGTATCTTATAGGTTATCATTCACATCCTACCGAAACTACTGCTCAAGGTTGTAGTGAATTCCGTCGAATGAAAAAAAAAGGCATTTGCATAGAGTCCCTATGCCAATTTAAAAAAAAAATATTGTGCACGTTAGTTAGGTCATGATAAATATCCCTTTTTTTAAATGTCATACATATAATTCTAATTTGATTCAAAATTATTCAATCAAAATCACTATTTGCTTCGAACCTAAAATTCACTATTCACACAAGCCTATTTCTAAAACATCCTACATGCAATGGCCAGAAAGGAAAGAGCAACCTTAAGTTTACGCTTAACATGTGCTCACAAACTGAACAATCACTATAATGTCGTTCTAACTGGTGTATGCTATCACCTCTACGTTTATATATTCCAACACACTGAGCGTGACAGCACATAGTGCCACAATGTCTGCAGAGTCTAGAGGACAACAGCTAGAAGAGCCAGTGCAGGGACCAGTTGGTTGTACACAGTGTAAACAGATCACAGTTCGCAATTGTGTTGTCCCATTTCTTTCTTTTTTCTTCCCAAATTTTCTTTCATTGCACCGTGCAAAAACTTTTCCCTGGACGATGATTACTGGCTTCTGTATGATTGATTGATTGATATGTGGGGTTTAATGTCTCAAAACCACCATATGATTATGAGGGAGACTGTAGTGGAGGGCTCAGGAAATTTTGACCACTTGGGGTTCTTTAGTGTGCACTCAAATCTGAGCACACGGGCCTACAACATTTCCGTCTCCATCAGAAATGCAGCCACCGCAGCCGGGATATGGCTTCTGTATAGGAGCAATGTACTAAGTTAGAAGGGGACATTAATTTTTTCAGCAACTTTCTTAGTGGCCAAGTCATTCTTAACCACAGGAAATTAAAAATAATGATATCATATTTCCAGGATAGTAATCTAAACTAAATTTCACATTTAGTTACTTTTCATATTAATGCAACAGCCACTAGCTCTAATGAGCATACACTATGTCAAATACTAACACAATGTCATGAATCAGACACACAATAGTAAAGAGCGAAAAATTTCCATAAGCAATATAAAAATAGTATTTTAGAAGAGTAATAAAAAACAGCAGTTTTGGCAAGTATGTCGGTGATATGAAGTGTTGAATTACAGATGATGAGCACAAATCCGGATAAAATTTAAGATTTGATAGCTTCTGCATAAGGCATACTGAATCGCACTACTATTGATAAACTGTTCACAAAGGCTGGAACCATGTACAACCTTCTAGAGAAACTGCATCTCACGCACGAGTTGCCTGTCATGCAGAGCAGACATATTAAAGTCGACTAAGAGAGACTTGTAAATACGATAGTGACCAACACATCTTTCATTCAGAATGCACAATGGCTTATTTTGAATCAATATACAAAAGTTAACAAAAATGCTATTGCAAGCTCATGATGGATGTTCAAGACATAGTCTTACACCTCGTAAAGAGTGCGAGACATTGTTATACACTATATTTTCTTGTTAACCTAGAAATAATGCCCCTCAATGTGTGCAAAGCAATTGCTGATAGACGCGACCAGCAAATGCACATGCAAAACATCATTTCTTTAGTTTAGTTGTTCATGCAATGCAGTCGCATTATAAAAGTGGCCTACAATAATTAGGAGCTTCACACAGACAATCATGAAAACGTGTAGAACTAACAGTGTGACAAATACGTTGTGAGACTTCTACAGTGTTTACCTGTGGAAGAAAGTTGCTTGAGTCAGCCCTTGTTCCTTTGGGATAAATGCGACTTAATTGTCGTTTGTTGTAGCTGTTGTACAAGTCAAGAAAACTAGCATGACTGTTGCAAAATGCTGAATGACGTTAATGAAAATATACTTCTACATCCTGTACAATGCCTAAGTGTGCACACAGAATGAAGTCTACTTCATTTTCAGTTTCGCTATTATGACTTCACCACGTCCACTTATGTAGCCCGTATTCACCTTCTTAAAAAAGCAAAAGCATAAATTGATATGCAAAAAACCAATTAATGAATTAGCAGTGAGAGAGAAAGTACAGAAATGCAGAGTTTCTCTCCAGAATAGATTCGAGGCACTAAGCGAAGTAACCGACGTTAGAGTTGACACAATAAACGATAATCTTATTATACTGTCATGAAAGAGTGCGCGATGGAAATCGAGGGTACAATCACTAAACCGGACACTGGCAAACTATCTCAAGAGACGAAAAATCTTATTAAAGGGCCACTCACCAGGCCCCATACCGAATTTTAGTTAGACAGTGTAAGCTGTTGGGTGTTCGATGAGGAACGTTTTGCCACAAACATTTTTTGAATCGGTTCATTACGAGCGGAGAAAGCGGGTTTTTTGAAGCAGCGCGAAACGAGGGTGAGAGGAGGCGAGCTCAAAACCCTTGCAGCTCCTCCGCGTAGCCTTCGCAAGCCAAATCTCTTCCCCACTCTCTCTGGCCTCCGATCAAGATGTGACGTGCGCATGACGTGCTCGAACAAGCCCAGCCCACGTGCACGCGAGCGGCGTTGCTTTGTTGACCAGCGTTATTTTGTGGTCTTCTCCCTGTTTCTGCGGGATGGTTTGGGAACGCTGGCTTAGACGCGATAGAGTAGAGGAGCAGAATGAGTGCGTGAACGCGTAGGAGCGTTCCACGGTAGTCGTCTGCTCATTGCGCTGACCGTGGGGACCTGAACGCATGCGAAACCCTGGCACATTAGCCTCGCATCTCGTAGCATTTCACGGGAAAAAATGCAAGAAAAATGTGCACAATCTTTTATTGCATCTCCTTATTTATTTCAAGTTTTATTCATCTCTTAAAGCAACAAATACATAAAATACGCATGTTGTGTTAAATAATTTTTGCCATGTCACGTGGTATACTGTTGAACACGTCGGAGCAGAGTCGTCTACGTAGAGGACCAACGTCACTGCATTGCCGTGTACGTAGGGCCATTCCTACGCCTACACCATGCCCTCATTCACTAGGCATGCACCGGAAGAGGAGAGAGAGAGCAGCTTTCATCTTGAAATTCGATCCATTTCCGCGGCGCGTAGCGTTGCAAATTTTGGCAGACGTGATCATGAACGCCTCGTCTACGCATTGCGCTTGTCAGCTCAAAATTGTCAAACCTGGTGAGTGGCCCTTTAAGAGACGACAAACCATGAAAGCCTCAAATGCATTCCACCAAATAGAGCTAGTGGAGCTTTCGAAGTTAATCAATAGGCATAAGGTAGCCGACATCAGAAGGTAATCACATGAAGAGAATTGAGCAGGCTGTAAAAAGCAGCAGAAGCCTAAAAGCTGCGAAGGCAAGCTTCTGCACTGGCAAAAATTAGATGTATGTATTCAAGGACAAGGAAGGCAATGTCGTAGCCAATATGAGTAGGATAGCAAAGGTGGCTGAGCAGTTGTACAGAGAGCTGTACAGAAGCCGACACAACCAAGATGATATTGTTACAGCGAGTTGTGATGAAATTGTTTCATTTACAAGAGGTGAGCGATGGTCGTTCGCGGTGGCACACTGCGATCTTGCCAAGACTCTTCGTCTTCCTCTCCTTCTCTTCTCTGCCTTTCACATGTCCGTTACATCCCCCCCCCCCCCCAAGCAGACAAAGCCCACAGGGCAAGTTATGATGCACAAGGAGGGTAGAATGGCTTCAGTCGAGCAATGTGTGTGAGCTGCTGTTCTGTTCGACCTAACGAATGCAACAGACATGTGAAAGGCAGAGAAGAGACAGAGAGGAAGACGAAGAGTCTTCGCAAGATCACAATGTGCTACTGCGAACGACCATCACTCACCTCTTGTAAATAAAACCATTTCATCACAACTCGCTGTAACAGTTGTGGTGGACGTGCTGGGTAATCGATACCCGAAAAAGGAGGCTGAACCGCAAGTTCTTCCACAGAGCTGTCGCCTTGCTGGACTTCCACCGAATCCATCTGGGCTGGACATGTCCCACAACGCGGATGAACATCGACCCCTCTTGACGTCTGCGCCGACCAGTTTAGCTCCACAACTGAGAGATGCTCCGAGTAGTATTGAAAATTAGGCAAGTTGGTAACGATTCATTTTTTAAGGTAAACAGCATGAAAAACGAAGACAGAGAAGTAGGAAGACACCGGACAAGCGCTGCTCGTCCCTTTGCTGGCAGACCAGAAGAAGACGTCAAAAGCTTGGCTCGTCCATTACAAATGGGTGAGCGCCGTTTACAAATGAAATGTCACTTCTCAGCTTTCGTTCGTTCGCATTCTTTCTGACAGATACTGCGTTAATGTAGTACGATAATCGCGAGGAAACGCTAACAATGTGCGACAGATCAGTTTTTGAGATCAAAGAGCGTTTCGGCAACCTCACAACAAAAAAGAAAAGAGCAGCACAGATGCTTATGCAATGTGCGCAAGTGCCATGCGAAACTTAGACAGCCTACATTGAGGAAGTTATAAAGCTATGTAGGATCACCGACTACGGAATGTCTGAGCATGACAAAGTAGGGCCCATTGTAAAAGGAATCGCCGAGAATGTTTACAGTTTACTCATCGCGAAAAACACCCTGACATCTGTTGCCAATGTCATCTCGCCATTGCCGCACTTTTGAGCAACTAAAGACTAGGTGAATCACACCGATGTTCAGCAGGCCAGCCAATGTGAAGACTATCGCAAGTATAAAGAGCAACCAGCTGTGTGATTATGCATCAACAATCCGACAAATAGTACGTGAAGAACTCGGCTTGTACGCGCAAGTGGCACACCACCAAGCATTCATCCCCACTACCTGCCACCAGAGATCGAGCGAAACGTTGCTCCATTCTCCTTGCACCGAGTGGCGGAGCGCATTGAGGATTCTGATGCCGCGCCTAGGTATCAGCCAGGTCTCTACGATAGAGGCCCTGTTTATGACACTTGATCACAACGAGAACAGCCAGGTTCTTACACTCGGGACTCTGAGCTGGACTACGTCCCGCTGCGGCAAGGACAGCACCGACCATACTACCAAGATTCAACTTACGACCAATACAATGGATTTCACAGAGTGACAGAAACCCGTTATTCGCGTGAAAACGAACTTCCTCGCCGACAGCAGCGGCCCAGGATTCTTTCTGACGAATATAGTATGAACCGCAACCCTCCCGTGTGCTACAACTGTGCTTTCACTGGGCATATCGCTCGGTATTGCCGCCGACAATGCCGCCAGTCACGAAGGGCACCAGCCATGTCTTCGCCACCAAGACCCTGTGCTTCATGTGACCTGCGGACACAACCGACTTGTTTCCAAGGAACCGTTTTTTGCGCGAGACCAGATGCAGCGATTCACCAGCATTCAAGCGGAGTTTGACATCCCAATCCAACCATTGCTCGTCGCTCGCCGTCTCCTCTACACCGTTTTTCTTCTCCGTCGCCGGGAAACTAGCATCTGCGGCCAATGAAGGTGAGGTCACCGGACGGTGTTTTCAAGATATAGTACCTCTGCCTGTTGTTATGCTCAAAAACAAAGTGGATGTGTTGATTGATGGAATACCGATGATCGCCTTAGTTGACACTGGGGCGGCTGTGTCTGTGATGAGCCTCACCTTCAGAAACCGTTTAGGTCGCAAAGCTATGTTTTCATGGCGGCGAGTGGCTTCATCTTTTTGGTGTATGTGTTGTCAGTGTTTCATTTGCTGGGAAAGTATTTGTATTTGAATTTCTGGTTCTATCTCGTTGTTCGCACGATGTCAATTTTGGTATTGATTTCCTGGAGCAATGCGGTGCTTCCGTCGACTGTGGTTGTGGGGAAATATCATTCAACAATTTGTTTCCAGTGTTGCTTTCCGAACAAGGCTACCATGGCGAAGACAGGAACACAGTGTGATTGATGAAGTGATAGCACCATCTTGGTGCCTGACACCCGTTCAAGTCTCTTCCAAAGCAGTTGATGCTGCTTGTGTTGACCTTGAAGTGGGGCCTCTACGCAAGAACTGTTCTAAGAAGGACATACTTGTGCCCTGTTCTGTTGTGTGCATCACAGTAGGAGTAGCAACTATATGGGCGCCGAACTGTTTTTCCTCGCCGGTTGTGCTTCCTTGCAGGATGAAGATAGCTTTCTTCGATGAAGCCTCGTGCAGCTCGATAGAGGCACTAGTTACGGACCTCACCACCTATTCCTCTCCTTGAGATATTTGTCATAATTAAGATCAAATGCTCAGTATGATCAGCAAGGCTCTCAGTACAACGATACGGCAAGCGCTGGTACGGGTCCTTTTCCAGCATGTTGCTGCTTTCGACTTCAAACATAGAGATGCACCCCTTCAGTTACCCTCGTCTCGCACTAGTCACAGAATAGACAGGGGCTCTGCCCACCCCCTCTGCCAAAAGCCCTACCAAGTGTCATGCTCTGAGCGCAAAGTTACCGTTGAATAAGTAAAGAACATGCTGAACAAAGGTGTCGTGCAAGAGTTGTCTAGCCTGTGGGCAGCCCCGGTAATTCTTGTCAGTAAAAAAAGCTGGTTCTTAGAGATTCTGCATAGATTACAGTCATCTAAACACTGTGACAAAAAAAGATGTACATTCCTTATCGCAGATTGATGACATCATAGATTGCGTGCTTGCCGCCTCCTATTTTTCAACGCTTGATTTGCGATCCGGCTATCGGCAAATACGTATGGAACCCGGCAACAAAGAAAAGACTGCTTTTGCAACTCCGGATGGCCTCTTTAAATTTAATATCATGCCTTTTGGCCTTTGAAACGATCCTGCCACCTTCGAAAGATTTATGGACACAGTATTACGTGGTCTAAAATGGGAGATAAGCACGTGCT